TCCCACCTAGTTGTCCCAGCTCTGTCTCCCAGAGGTACAAGAATATATCTGCTCTGTTCCCACATAGCAGTCCTTAGCAGGTCTGAGGTTCTATTGTCTCCAGGTTAAACAGCTCTAGTTCTTTCGTCCATTCCTCATCTGATACAATGGCTGACTCCTTCCCCCCATCCCAAAGTATGCAGAGTTGGTCCTTATCGATTCTGAGGATGCAGGAGCCATCACTTGCACACCATCCCCCAGTGAGATCCCCAGAGCAGAGCAGAACAATGTGATTTCTGCACCTACATGGACCCACAGGTTGATAAAATATTGAAATATGTACATAGTGGTTGCAAAATAGCTGCTGTTCCGTTATCCAACCCCTATCCCAAGACCCCCCCTGCTACACAGTGCTCCCCATTATCCAGCAATGAAAGGTAAATTCCTGACCAGGCCTGGGGGCTCAGGCCTCTAGTAATCCTAGCACTCTAGGAGGCTGAGGCAGGAGGACCCCTTGAGCTTAGGAGTTTGAGAGCACCCTAAGCAAGAATGAGACCCCATCTTTACAAAAAATAGAAAAATTAACCGGGAATTGTCCCAGCTACTCAGAGACTGAGGCAGGAGCATCAGTTGAACCTAGACATTCGAGGTTGCTGAGATAGGCTAAGGCTACTGCACTCTACCTGGAGCAAGAGAGTAAGACTCTGACAAGAAAGAAAGGAAGAGGGAGGCAGAAAGGGAGGGAGGAAGGAAGGAGAGAGAAAAGAAAAAAGGAAAGAAGGAAGGGAGGAAGGGAGGGAGGGAAGGAATGAAAAGAAAGAAAGAAAGAAGGAAAGGAAGGAAGGAAGGAAGGAAGGAAGGGAGGAAGGAAGGGAGGGAGGGAGGAAAGGAAGGAAGGGAAGAAAGAGAGAAAGGTAAATTCCTCCAAGCACACTCATGTGTCAAGGCTACAACTTGACCTCTTCTGGTTGGTGGGCCTGTGCTGTATCAGCTGCTAAATACTGTTACTGTTGCCCCTGAGCTGTTACTCCCCTTCCTTTGGCTGCTTTGTATTGAATAATTCTTTTGGTAGTAGCAAAAACGCCAGGGCTGGGGGGAGCCTGTGGCTCAAAGGAGTAGGGCACTGGCCCCACATACCGGAGGTAGCGGGTTTAAACCCGCCCTGACCAAAAACTGGAAAAAAAAAAAAAAAAAAGAACTTAAGGGTTTATAACAAGCTTACAGTTACTCAAAACTCAGGTCTTTCTCAGGTGAGCGACAATTTGTATTTGCTTATCACTCCCCAGTTACAAAGTATGTCAGTGTCCGTAGCTACTGAGGAGCCAGGCCTCACCTGAGCTGCGCTGCAGGTTTAATCCCAAACAAGGCCCTAGTGTGAGGTTACTCTCCTCCTTATTTAATTTCATCCACTAGTTTCAGCCCATCCTTTTAGACTTTTGCTATCACCTTAAAATATTGGCTCTGCTGTCTAGTGTCGTAACTCTTTGTCACCCACAGCCTTGATAAAGAAATTATTTATCATCATAAAAAGAGTTGTGAGCAAGGCCAGAGCAGGCCCTGGCCCAGGTGCTGGCTCCTTCCCCGGGGCAGAGCCTCTCGCCCTACAGGGCAGAGCCTCCCGCCTTACCTTCATGTCCCTCACATCTGTTTGTCATCAACACACTGGCCCAACCTTCTCTGTGGGTCCACCTGGCCACCCAGAGAGATTTCTACCAAACACTTCTGCTAAAATCCATAGAAACCCCATGACACTCACTGGACGCATATGCCTGCTAGGCTACCATCCCATCTTAGAGATTGACCTTGGTTCTTGGGAGGCCCTGCTCCCCTTTCTGAGAAAACCTCAGAACCCTTTCAAAAGCTACTTCCAACATATCTCTGCTGTATCCAAAACCCCTAGGAGGTGCCCTCCTGCCTCCAGGACTGGCCACCCTCCTCCTCCTCCTGGAACTGGAGGCCCAACCCTGGGCACAGCACCTCTCTCTTCATCAACGCCCCCCCCCATCCCTAGCCTCAGGGAATGCCTTGCTCCTTCTCCCCACCACCCTTGTCTGGCTGTTCCTCCTCAAATCACAGCCTTTCCCAGGCCTACACATCCTTCCAGGCCCACTTCCAATCTTATCCTTTCTTACCTTCCCTGAGCATGTCTCTCTGAAATTATTTATCCTCTCAACCCTTAGAGCTCTTAGTATTTCACAGACCACCTTGTCCTATTGAATACAGTTTGTGTATCTTGCAGGCAGTAGGAAGAACAGCCCCGTCTGGACAGACCAAGTTGTGTGAATATCTCGGCCTTCCTAGCCCAGTCATGGGCCTCACACTTCCTAGGTGCTCAGGGCACTCACTTGACCTCATTCCCTGAGCTCCTCTAGGTTCATCCAGAGGTGGAGCTGCTGGGTGCCTGGCAGCCCATGCCTGGACCATTCCCTCACCTTTCATCCTGTCCATCATCTCCATGGTCTCCCCAAACAGCTCTTCCGCCTCTGTCTTGACACTCAGGATTCGGCTGCCCTGCTCACCCAGCATGGGACTCTGACCCAACCGGTCCTTTAACTCAGCATATTTTTGCTTTATCCTCTCAAATCCCTGAAAGAGGTAGAACAATCTCAGTATCATCATTAGCATCCAAGGTCCTGAAGGCCTGTGCTCGAAACACTTGAGATCTCCCAAATCAACACTCAATGATTTCCCTATTATTTCTTCTTATTTCCCAATAGGGTTGATTTTGCCCATAAAAACCCCAAGTCACAGATTCTGTCTTAAGCTTCTGCATTCCCCTCCCTCTGTCTCCAGCTCCTGCCATTTCCCACCTCACTTCAGCACAATGTCAGACACATAATAATGTGTTAATTTAAGCTGCTACTTAATAGTGTAGCAACTTGGTCACCACGATTCCAAGTGCCAATGTTCCTGGCCCTGCGGGAAGCAGGTAGTACACTTGAGACACTGACAATAGCTCTTCAATCTTCTCTGTGATCTAATTCTGACAATAATAGGAAGCCAGGAGATGCGCTCCTGTTGGGTCTCAAGAGACCAGCTTTGCAGATGAGCATTAGGCCTATGGACAGGACTCCATCTCATCTGTAGAGGGACCAGATCATCTCCAATGTCCAGCACCAGCTACACCAATGGCAGCAGAGAGAGAATTCGAAGGCCTCTCCATGTGGAGGTTGAACCTGAGGTCCCTTCCCTCTGGTTCTCTAAGCGCTGTTGAGTCCACTGCCTTATACAATGTGCAAAGTCCTCTCCTGCTCAGGACCCCTCACTGGCTGTGCATCACCAGGCAGACTCTGCCCACTCAGTACCTCCTGTGCACTCAGTGCATGCTTGCTGGTCCTGTCTGCAAGCTGCTGGACCTGGATGGCCTGTGCCTGCTGCTGTTGGGCCTGGCGGCGGAGCTCCCCCATCCGTGCCCAGAAGTCACCCAGCTGCTCCATCATGCCTGTCACTAGCCTTTCTGCTGGCCCCAGTACCTGCTGAACCTTTATAGAAAGAGAGAGGAGATGGGGGTGTGGGGTGAGTCTCCCAGGCAGAGACTTTCATTCCCATCTTTTCTCCAAATAATAAGGCAGGAAAAACTCTGTCCAACCAGAATGTCATGGCTGCCCCCCAACACACACCCCTGACAACCCAGCCCCTTCCTGCTCCAGCCCAGCTGACACCCCACTCCTACCACAGGTCGGAGTTCACCCGTGCCTTCTGCACTCCAGCCATGAGACCCGAAAACCCACAGTTCAATGTCAGCCCCAAGGCTTGTAACCTTCCTTCTCTGGAACCCCAGCGCAGCTTCCATATGGTCAGTTTCTGGTATCTTCTGTGCCTCACGCCTAAATCTGTCTGTTCATTCCCATAATACCTCACCTCAGCAACCCTGTCCTGGATAAGCTGAAGGGAGCGGCTGGTGCCTTGCATGGTGTCCTGAGCCTCCTGCAGTGCCACCGTGCCCTGCCGCAGGTTCCCAATTACGTCCTCCACCTGGCCCTCCACTGTGTGGGCTCGGATCCTAGGTGAGGGAAGCAGGAAGGACAGGAGAGAGAGAATGAGTGAACGGTGAATGAATAACTGGGTGGGGCAGATCATTCATCAGTCCAGGAGAACACCCTTCCCAGCAAGACAAAGAGTAAGGGGAGTATTAACTTAGTGGCTCTGACACCCCCGGATCCCCCCAAACTGACATGATGGATGCCAGTTGTATGCCTGAGATATCCTCTGGGCCCAGCTTCCAATAGGGAAGACAGGCTCATGCAAGTAAACTTTAACTTGGATTTTGTGTATCACTTAGCCACCCCCACCACAGTGAGCACCCTCTCCTGTCTCCCTGCCCTCTCCACCCCTCTGGAGCAACAGGGTTGGGGAGTCTAACACCAGCTCAATCCTGCACAGTGAGAAGCCCAGGGCCGAGCCCATACCTGGCCTGCTCAGCCTCAGCCTGGAGTCTGCGGGCCCGGGCAATGTCCTGCTTGGTCTGGGACAGCACCAGGTCCACATTGGGGAGCTTGGCTGCAATGGCCTGGATCTCATTCATTTTCCGCAGGACTGTTGCTGAGTCTGTGGGCAGCCACAGGGCCAGCACAGCCTCACTGACTTCCTGGATGGTGGCTGCACTGGTGTCGGGATCTGGAAGACAGCCACCCATCAGGTGGAGATCTGAGGCCTGTCCAGGTTGAGCAGCCCCCACAGCAGAAGTCACCCACTGACATCCTTGCTGTGGTACCCCAAGGAGCTGCTGCCCTTCTCAGCCAGACTCGGGCTCCTGCTCTCTGGAAGTGTCTGGGAATGCTGCAGGAGCATGACTGTCCATGCTCCCTGCCCGGGGTGGGAGGAGGCGTGGAGAGGGGATGTCAGCACAGCTGTGGCAACTCAGTGTCTGATGCCACAGGAAGCTGAGGAGAAAGAGGCGGGGCCAGACAGCTGGTACTGAACAATGCCTGCGGCACATGCATCCTCAGCTCAAAACAGGGAACAGCAGCCAGGACCTGGAACTGCTTCCTTGGCTGGAAGACCCCTGCCCTACACCCCTTCCCAGGCCGGAGGCTCGTTTTTGCAAAGGCAGATAGGAATTACCAGGTCTTTGCTGAAACATCCCCTTCTCAGAGGGGCCAACCCCAGCCACCCAAGCTAGAATTGCAGCCCCCACCTCAGACCAGCATTCCTTATCCTCCCTCCCTGCCACATCTCTCTCTCTCTAGCACTTAGCAATACCCACCACTGAACCCTGAACTCATTTTTCTGGATTTCCACATAGACCTTATACCTCCCACACCATGACCTTGCACCCAACAGCAGCCAGCACCCAGCACCTACTGCACCAAGACCCTGGAGACCAGAACTTGCCAATATGATGAAATTTCTTGGGTCCCTCCCCGGGTCCAGGCCTCTCTCAGGCTCTGCTTTTTCTCTCTGCCCCTGGCCTCATTCTAAGACTTGACCCAGACACAAGTACAACTGAGAGGACAAAATGGGCCTGGCTGCTCTCCACTGTTCACAAGAGCCAGGGGTGGACCCCCTACCGGAGAGATTTCCAACCCACCTCCCAGCCCTGGGGCCAGGGGCCTGGCTGAGGTTAAGATAGGATGAGTAGTCATTTGGCCCCACTGGGCTTGCCTTGGGGAAAGCCTCCCTCATCTGTGAACCTGAGCTCCACCCTCGTGGCCTGTCCTGTCATCTGCATTTGTTGGGTACCACCTTCTTCCATTGTGAGCCTCATAACCTTAGGCAAGTCACGGACCTCAGTGGATCCTTCCTGCCTTTCTCTGACCTGCCACCTGCACTTGGGAGGGGGCTTGGGCTTGTTTGGGCAAAAACACTGCAGTAGCAGCAAAGAGCCACTGTCATTATGCTAAGCCCTCAGCTTAGCATAAGCTCCCAGCCAAGCAAATTCACGGGCAGGAACCAGAAACCTAATAATATCAACTTTCATTCCTGAGGCACCTTTAGTTTTTCCAAACACGTTTTACATCAGTTATTTGATCCTCAGAATAAA